GAAAAAAAAAAGTTTTACATTTTTTGATGCTTTGGTTACTGAAATTGGCAGTCCTTTTGCTTACTCCCTCATGATTGGCCTACTAGTGAGGTTGTGTGAGTGTGCTCATAATCGGGAATTCAGTCTTTTGGATAATTCATAAAATTTCACAATTTGTACAGATTAGGTGGACCCTTTAGTAGTAAATAATCGAACTACAGAATAAATTGAATAAATTCAGATAATTTGTGACCTTTGCCACTTTGAGTTAAAATAACTTTGATAGCTCAAATATAGGTTTATGATGCGACTTACCGTGAATTTCCCAGTCCTAATAACAATTCCCAATCCATCACCTTCGGTGCAGTAAGAACCCTTGAAGGCAACATTCCTTGAATCAAATACTGACACATGTGGTGCGGCTGCTTCAGCGGTACATTCAACAGGAGAAGTTTGTCCTGAAACATCATAGTTTTTATTTCTTCTCTTAACAATATATTTTGATTCCGTCAAGTAAATAGTTGACCTGTCACTTCCGACACTTCGATGGTGAGGCAGTTAGTTTGAAGAATACGTATGTCAGCGGGTATGCGGGAACCGGAACTGAAAAAAATCGTTGAAATGTTGCGAAAATTTTCTTTTGAGACAGAAAAGATGGATCACTAAAATGTTCTCGATTTTGAACAAAGTCCAACTTCGTCATGAGCTTTTGAGAGTTTTGATGAGTTTTCTTCCCGCAAAATTTTTTTCAGTTTCTATGGCGAACATATAGAATTCTCACATCAATCTCGCAGTTTAGACGATAGTTTTCGTTTGATGCTTTATTCCAAAAATAAAAAATTAATGATTTCATACCTGATGATGACCAAATCGCCAACAACAATTTCTTCGATGTTGATCTCCTTTTCCTCACAATCTCTGATCACGATCGCTTTCGAGGGTAACAATTTAGTGAAGTCTTTCACAACCTGAAATTTTTGTGAGTTTACATTTTCTCCTTTGTGCCCAGAAAACTCACTTTTCTCGCTTTCTTTTCTTGCCATAGCGATAACAAACCCATAAAGAGTACAACAAGCAACAATATGCTAGCACAATATAGATTAAGCGGCTCATTGAACCCATGGGCATAATGTACGAAATAGGCTGCTATAGAAAGAAATGCAGCACCTAAAA